CAATTGATTTAATCCTTCCACCCGCACTATGGACCTGGGTTGACTCCACCTCTAACAGAAATGAGTACCAGGAATTAATTAAATAATTTTCCTGGGGAGTAAAGCGCGGCCGGAGCGTAAGTCTGACAACCTTACCACCAACTTTGAGTAGATTGTCTAGATCAAGGGTCTCCAAACTACGGCCCGCGAAAGAATTGTGCAGAAATGCGCCAATTGAACTAATTTTCCAATGAGTACTGGTAAAAAAATACTTGTTCATAGATTTCAAATTCATTAATTAAGACTGTGTTTAAAATATATGGATATTCCAAATTATGTTAATATTAATATTATTCACATCCACTTTTACCAGATACCGAGTGGCTTTGGAAATTAGCATTTTTTGTTGATCTGGTGAACCATATGAACAATTTGAATTTAAAGTTGCAGGGTGAAAATAACTTAGTCTGTGATTTATTTGCACTTATCAAGGCATTCAGAGCAAAGTTGATACTTCTGGAAAGCCAAGTGAAAAATTGTAACTTTGTTCATATGCTATACTCTGCAGAGCTGCATAAAAAGGGTGAAGCTGAATTTCATTCCTCGTTTGCAAATTTAGTCATTTCAGATTTGAAAGAACAATTTCGGAAGCGATTTGCTGATTTGGATTCCAGTGCTCAGGAAATTAGATTGTTTCAAAATCCGTTTGACTGTGATGCTGCAGATGTCCCAAGTCAAATTCAAATGGAAATTATTGAACTCAGGGAAATTATCATATTAAAGACAAATACAAGGAAGGAAATTTGATACAATTTTATAAATTTCTGAACTCTGAGCAATTTCCAAATTTAAAGAAATTTGCTTGTAAATTTATTTCCGTTTTCGGGACGACATATCTGTGTGAACAAAAGTTTTCCCAGATGAAGTACATCAAGACGAAATACAGGGAAAATTTATCCGATGAACATTTGAGGTCGCTACTTGTGATTAGCTTTTCAAAATTTGAACCTCAATTTAATCAGATTTTAAGAATGCAAAAAGAGTTCCATCATTCACATTAATTGTTTTACTATAATTTGTGATGAAAATATGAGCATTTGCTGCTACTGTCTGTTGTCATTAATATACGATAATTTATTCCCACGTACTTTGTATTTAGTTTATGAAATTCTGTGCTTTCAATAAAACTCATATACCTAGAGTTATTAATTTCTCAGTTTATCCGGCCCGTTGAAAGTGCTGAATTACCTAATTTGGCCCGCGTTTCGAAAAGTTTGGAGACCCCCGGTCTAGATAATGTGGGAACCTCAACATCTCACAACCCTATGGGCCTTCACGGCCTGGTACAGGGAGAGCCTTACTTTTTTTTTTCTTTATATAAGAGGAGTTTGTTTTTCAGTCGCGGTCGCCTTATATTCGGGTCGTTAAAGATAAAGGTGAAGAAGATAATTAGGAGAATTTGTAATTGATACTTCTAACGATATTTGTGAAAATAGCTGCAATTATATTTAAGAGATTGTTTGCTCAATCAATTAACTATTTCCTTAATAACAAAGTTGTTTCTCCTTTTTCCTTACAACCCTCTGAAATGAATGGCATATTCAGTCTTGTACAAGAGAAATGAATCTGATTTTCTCTTTGGAAAAAATAGCGTCTTATTTTGGATGGCGCCTAATGTTCCGGGCAGAGGGCAAATCTGCTGTTTAAATAGATCTCGCTGAATCAACTGGACAGACTGCAACAGGAATGATAATATATACACCAATATTCCCAATAGGTTCTTCAAACTTATCTAAACATTTCTTAAGTATGGAAGTTGGGGTATGAGATTACCATGCTTCGTGTGTGAGAGTGTGTCCCCCATTTCAACTTGTTAACAACTGACCGATTTTCTCGAAAGTTGGCATGGACGTTTGGCCACTTGAAGCCATCTTCACGCCTTACTTTCTGATTTCGTACAGAGAATTACAAAATTGTGACTAATAAGCGAACCTGTGAGGTGGGGGCAACACCAAATATGTATGCAATAAATATCGGAAAATTATGCAGCTTTTGAAGAGGTAACTATTTTGTAAAATAAAACATAACAACACGAAGAAGGGGAGAAATTTGTCGGGTTTTGTGGGGATAACTAGTGTTGAGCTAGACAAACAGAGACAAACATCCCAGAAGACTGCTTTCTTCATAGTGCGGCCGTGAAAACCTCAGATCTTACATAGACAAACAGAATTTCACAAGGAGTTAACTCATATACATGCCTACACATCAAACGTTCTTCGAAGTTAATAATTACGAACATGGCGACGCAACGAATCTGAGATGTTCGACAAATCTGATATAAACAGATTTTATATTTAAGCAATAAGTTCTTTGGACAGATATAATAATAATTTAATTCAATTCGTCTTTATTTACATGCAAACTTAAGAGCACAGAGGCCAATTACAAAGTTAGCACGAAGAGATAGAAATACACAAAAATACGCAATACAAAATATGATAGTTTACATTAATTACAAAGTGAGCATGAATAAAAATACAGAAACAAACGGACACAGACAAAGTCTAATAATAATAATAATAATAATAATAATAATAATAATAATAATGTTTATGTTTTTTTTTTCTTTCTTACACCATAGCCAA